TATATATATTATTTATAAGTATATCGTTTAACGGGCGGCTAAGGCAGCGGCATGCCAGCATTTCTTTTTATTGCTTTAGCTGCATTTTCATCTTCAATTATCATCATCATTAGCATTAGCATTGACTTTAGCACAAATTTTACAATATCAGCACCAATAAATATTTGCCATCGCTGATTCCTGTGCCAAATTTCATTGCTGGCTCAATAAAGGCCAAAATCGAAAAAGAATAGAACTTAATTTGTTTGGCAAAGAAATCAATGGACGGATCAAGTATCATTAGGTTTGTGGGCATTATTGTTGTGTTCGCTGTGTGGAATTGTGGAGGACAAAGTTGAAGTTTCACCAACAGCAGCAGCAGTAATATTTGCATTGTTATTGTTGTTGTTGGTTGGGTTTTGAATTGGGTGACATGGWTTACTGTTACTGTTACTGTTGTTGTTATTATTGCTTAAATTAATTAAATTGGTATTTAGCTGCACCTCATCGTATTTCTTGTCAGCCTCCTCAGCAAGGAAACGCGCTTCCTTCAGCTGATTCTCAAGAGCGTCCATGCGTTCTTCATCGGCAAGGGCGCGATTCTCAAGAATCTTGCGTGCACTGTATATAGTCATTTATATAAAGTATATATAGTGATCAGTGTATGATCAATTATAGGACGACCACGTTGCGACCATGCCCATAGAAGACAGTGACCAAGTTGTTATATCGATGATTTGTCGTTGCGTACAGCCCCAAAATATCGTGAATCATTCGACGTCATCGCATCCACATCGGTGTAGAAAGTGTAGAGTTGTTGTTGTTGTTGTCAAGTTRTTGTTGAGTATGACAAACACATGGATGCGCAGTGGTACACACAGGTAGACACAATTTCGAACATAAATTATGTTGAAAGATTAAGTTTTGATTCGGTTTTTTTTTTTCGGATTTGTTTTTGTTTTAGTGGAGTTCCATTGTACAGATCAAGATTTAGAGAATTTTGCAAAAAGAAACAAGAATTTGTTGTTGCTTGTTGAGTTTTACAGTTCAGTTAATTGAAAAAAGGTACAAATAATTACGAAGCTGAAACAGTGCTTTGTGAATTTTTTTGGTTTATAAATAAATCAATTTAAGTTTTGTTTTTTACTGTAAAATAGCGCAACCGTTGAGCTATTTTTCAGAGTTAAATGTATTGTGTAGAAATAGCTCTAAGTAGTATTTTACATATTTATATATTGAATGTGTTTTGCGGTTTCTCTTTTATTACTAAAATATAGCTTCAAGCGTTTTTTAAGGAAAGTGTATGAGTTCAAATCTATATTCTCTACACAGTTTCAAAGCACAAGGCAATGTTTTAGCTTTTTCACATACAAAGAATATTTTGGTTGTAAACATAGATATTTAAACAGCGATTTGCTAAGACACTACCATAAGCTAGACACATGCCATAATTAAATAACAATRTGTATATACGTAGAGCTTTATAAATATATATATATATACAATATACATCCATTTTGTTCTTGCTGATGCTGTCGTTGTTGTTGTTGGCTGCGGTCGGCGTTGGGCTTAAAAACTAAATGCTGTTTACAAGTTGTTAAGCGTTCTTAAATATACCCTATAATTATTTAATACATATATTTTTGGAGTTTGTAAGAGAGCGCAGTATATATAACCCATAACCTAATTAGTAACGGTAATTTCGACGCATCTAACCTCAAAACGAAGAAAATAAGTAAAACGAATAGAAAAGAAAACGACGAGAAGATAACCCTATTAACCCTAATTCCCTAAGTTTTTCTTTTTTTTTCAATGTTGAATTCAGAGCAATAGATAACTATACCTCTTCATATTTCTTATCAGCTTCTTCTGCAATTAATTTTGCTTGCGCTAATTGGTTCTCCAATAGAGCTACTTTGTCGTCTTCCATATTTGTGCGATTTTCAAGCGCTTTTCGTATCCTAAATTTCAAGAGCAATTGTAAGAAGCATTTTAAATATAAATATACCGTAGATAAGAGCATGAGCTGGATACTTAAGTTGCTTACATATGCTGTAGACTTATTATTAATGTATACAATTTGATAATAAATATAATCAAAGGGTTAAATATAACAGAAAATTGTACTAACCGTTCGCTCTCATCGGCGGCCTGAGAGGCTTCCGACAGCTTGGCTGTGGCGGAACCCAGACGCTCCTCAGAGCGTTCCAAGTCTTCTTCGAGCAGTTGAATGCGACGGTTCAATGCGGCAACCTCAGATTCAGCCTATAAAATAAATATTCGATGTTCGAACGAACAAGACAATATAGCAAACGTACAAATGCTTAAAAATTTACTATTATTCTAACTTAAGGACTTACAAACTAATGCAAGAAATACACTGAAATAACTTAACTAGTAAAATTTGCTACTTTTGGTATAACTAAAATATAGAATAATTCTATCCTAACGTTAGTGCTCTCTCATACTAAAAATAAAACTCTCCATATTTTAATAACTATTTAAAATTCAATTGTTTGCGACCGCAGCATTTGTTCCATCTGAAATTAGAGATATCTTCTTCTTCGTTTTTTTTTTCTGCCTCCTTTTTGTCGCTCCATTCGCCTGAGTAAGCGTCAGCGTTAGCCTTAGCATTTTAACAAGGTCGCCGGTGTTAACGCCCCAAAGCTAGCAATAAAATGTTTGTTTGCGTGTGCTATCGATAACAGTTCAACAGCACGAAGCCTCTCAAGGTTTCAGTTTGGCCAATAATTAGGGGGATCCATATATCGATTACACTTGTCTCAAGTTGCCAGCTCAGGAAAATAGGCAACAGCTAATCGAAGCATGTGCATGACGTCAACACATAGTGAACAACCTTGCCAAAAATTTGAATTGCAATCTTTAGCGGCCAGTTTTTCCCACCAGCCGTATTTTCAAAAACACAAAACGAAGCATTAAACATATGCCCATTAAAGAACGGAAAATATTTGACATTGACGCCGTCGCATTTGATTACCTTTTTCAGAATACGAGAGAGAAAGACAGAGACGGAGAGAGAGCGAAAGAGAGATGGGTACACAAACGTTGAAAAGCACAAATGAATTAAATGTTTGTGCAGCTCAGCTCAGCTCAGCTCGCAGCACACGCCCAAAAATGGTTAAAAACGGCTTTGACCAAAAGCGGCCACAATTGGACAAGGTAGTCCAGGTCCAGTCGACGCGGGATGATTATATTGCCAATTTTTCAGTACACTGCAATACACAAATACAAATCAAAACTCAAACATACATACACACAAACACACACACCAAATATAAAGTTATATGAGTGACGCTTAGAACGCTGCGGACGCGCGTCGTAAAAGTATCGTGTGATTATGAATTGGAACCAAAACCAACCGCGCCGCCGCTGTAGCTTACGTCATCGTCCAAACAGTCAATAGACAGGCAGCATACAAAACACGCGCACACATATATATATATATATATACATAGACATGTGTGTAGCGTAAATTTAACGATAAAAAATCATATAGGGGCAAACAGCGCAGCTTTCCAAAACACATACGAAAGTCACACAACAAAACCGTTGATGAAGCAACAGCGAAAAAAAAATGCCAAAAAAAAATACTCAGCTTGAGTTTCGTTTCGTTTAAAAATAGCGGGAGTCGCTCACGTTAAGTGTGTGCGACAGAGATGGACTTAAGCAAATTTTTGGTCTTTGCTTTGAACTCATTAACAAAACGTATTGAAGATTAAACGCCTCGAAAAGAAATGCAAAGCTAAACAGAACAAGTTTCGGGGTGAGGAATGGCAAAAAATTGCCGGCAAAACGAACAAGGAAAAATAAAAAACAAATAAAAAGCCATGAGTATGCAAAAGCTGCATAGCAAAGAAATTGTAAAAAAAAATTGTTGATGGCTTAGTCACACACACCTTGAATTTTTTATTTGACTCGAATTGCTGTGGCAACGAAACCAAAAAAAAAAAAAAAACAGAAAAACAATACCAACAACAATAACAGAAGAGACGAGAGGCTACGTTCGAGTGCGTAGGGTGTGTTTAAATGTTATATATGATGCATTTTTAATTATGAACCCGAAAATAAGCCATAAAAACTGTAAGCAAACCACTTCCAACTTGTAAAGCGTAAAAGTAGCGATCTCTCAAGCATAAAATATACTAGAGTTTTATAGCATGTAGCTACTGTCATGCATGTCTGTCTGGTCGTGTGTTGTAATCTCAAATTGTATGTGACAGTTGACGAAATTACGAAATGTAATAGAAGAGAAAGACAGAGTGAGAGAGGAAGAGAGTACTTGCCCAGAAGGCAACAAATCAAAACCAATTTGTCACAATGAGGCATTGAATTATCAGTGCTCAATTTCGTAACAGCAAAAAGGAAGAGAATGCGTGGCGGGGAGAGAGAGCGAGAGAGCATGAACTGCTGCTGGGGCCACGCAAATGACATTGAAAGCATTGTCTATAAAAATTAAAACAACAAAGCACATTATGTTACTTGTTTCAGCTTTTGTGCAACTAGCAAGCGAAGGGGCTGAACTAAACGTCAATCACTTGACAAAAGCGTGGAAAAATGAGCGCAAAAACTAGCAACTAACGGGGCATAGATGACAGACAAAATGGGAATGGGAATGCTCAAAATGAAAATACATTTTGATTTTGGGGAGTGCCGTTACAGTTTTAGAAATTTCAACAATACGCGATCGAAGGACTATGAAAAACAACTGAAAACATCTTCATAAAAAATGACGTCAACAATGTTGTCAATGCTACGTTACAAACTTTACATTCACATACACTAATATATACATATATAAAAATATACACATGTATAGATATATGTACATATATGTATGCATATAGGACCATCTTGCGTAATTGACTAATTAGAATTGAATTTAACGCACATGTAGCTTGGGCCAAAAATATCGTACACACACTCAAACATGTCAAGAAGCCACTTATTGTTGGCCGTGGCTTAAGATTATAATTAATCGAATTTAGAACACCGCTAACTAAGCACTATGGTTTTGAACTGAATAGAGAAGCCGGTTTGAGTTCTTTTCTTAAGTTTAAGTTTTCACTGAATAGATTGCTTTTTCTTCTGATATGCTAATGAAATGCTGTGCGGGTTTGTGCCCCGTTTTTCGATAGGATTTTAAAAGGTGAATGAATTTTGGTTACTCAATTCACAATAGTTTAAAACGTACGAAATATGAACTGTGATCAAATTAAACAGAAGCGAACTCTGCGTATATATATATTTATATGTACGTACATATAACAAATTGAAATTCATAACAAAAGATAGTCCAATAAAAAAGACAGTAAACCCATAGAGGAACAAAACAACACAACAGTGGCAAGACAGCGAGCGACAGAGAGGGATCGAGAGAGCAGCGCAAAGAGCGCGCAAAGAATGAGAGCGTGTATTTGACTGTGACAGTCTGTCAGTGAACTTGCATTAGTATTTGTGTTTGTATGTCAGGCACAGTGTCTGTGTTCATGAGCATGTATTTGCATTGGAAACGTTGGCACTGCTCAGAACGAAGAAATGCTTGCGCTGGACTAATCTTGAGCGATGGTTCAGCTTTGATGCAAAATCTTTATACCAAAAGTAGCAAAAAACTGTATCTATGTATATAGTTTCTTTTAAACTGAATTGTAATGTTGCCGATTGCTTACTTCTTCACGTCGAACAACTTCAAGTTGTAGTCTCTTGTGAAATTCCTCGCATTCATCTTTATACTTTTCCATTTCTTCTTTGGTCTGACGCATTTTCTTCTTGAGTACATCCAAAAGTGTACCTTGTGGAATGCTGGTCGTCATTTTTGTGCTTGTTTTTTGGACTTGTGGGTGTTTGTGGTAAGTGTTTACAATTGGACTTTGCGTTGGCAGGCAGTGGCAGATGAAGATCGCTTTTCTGACCGGCGATTGGCAGTTAACACTGAAGCACACTTGTATTAGCTTTTGCCTCTTATTTTTTGTATTTATTCTAAATACAAATTTCTTTCGATATGGCAGCACCAGAATATATTTAATTTATAAACTGTAAAACACCAACACACGCACGTAATAGAACGAACGGCCGAACGAAGCGACGACACAGACAAGAGTATGCGCTAACCACCGGTTTTTTTTTTTTTTTCTTCTTTCTCTTCTACTGCTTTTCTCTTCTTCTTTTACTGGTTTGCTTCGTTGCTGCTGCTGCTCTGCTGCCTGTCGTATTTCTTTTTCTTTTTTTTTTTTATTATGTGTGAAGGGCCGATTAGATTCGAGCACACTTGATACACACTTATAGTTGAAAAATAATTTTATATATTAAAACAATATTAATATAAATATTTAATTGCAGAAAGCTGCACAGAAACTACACACACACGGAGAAACGAAGACGATAAAACGACGCGATTCTGCGACTGGCATTTGTGAGTACGTAACTGGAAATGAACCGCTGAAACACTTTGCATGCTCATGTCTACAAAGCGGCGGTGGTGGTTTATACGTTGTGGGAAAGAGACAACTGCTGTATGTGTGTGTGCGACTTTCCAGTCTGACAGTGCCTCGCCTATGTGTCGTGTCGTGTCGCTCATATCTACATGTGTGTGAGTGCGAGTGCGCTAACCAGTGTGTATATGCGGCTTTCCCGCTGGAAAACCTGTTAAAGCCGCTAAAAATTCAGTCTACAAGTTTGTTGTTGTTTGCATTAATTAGTGAAGAAATATTTGAGATTTTTTCCTTATTTCTCCAATATAATTAATATTATGCAAAATTGCGAGCGAAAATGACGACTGGCCAATTGCCCATACGCCAGTGAAAATGAGTAAGCAACCTGTCATCAAAAAATAGTACATGTGCGTGTGTGAGTGTGCCTGAATCCTCCCCACTCGCCACTCACCACCTACCCTAGCCAACAAACAAGATAATTGTATAATACGGCATATAATGCCGGTGCTCTATCAGGCTTATCAACACGCAAGCAGGAGCAGCACAAATGAGTAATCATTGGGCGCTGCGACACCGAGCATTGTTCGTATCAGGTTGTAGTTGTTGCTGAGCGTTCGCATGTGGTCCTAGTCCGAGACAGTTGACGATTGTACAAAGCTCGATATCGATACCGATAGACAGAGGGCGCGCGCGAGCAACAAGTGGAAATGCGATTTGTATTTGGCAAATGACATAATTGTTGATAATACAAACGATGATTGCCAATGGTCAATTTCAATTAAAATAAGCATGCCTGCCCATTTTTGGCAACTGTGCGGCATTGAAAAGAAATTAAAAGTAAACGTCAGTGCCACATAAATGAACACACACTACCTTAGTGGGGTGCACATACATAGAGGTACACACACACACACACACGTAGAACGAAGGTCATTGGCGTTTTGCAGCGGTTATGAGAACACGTAGAAAACTGAGAATACGTTTAATTTAATATAAATAATAATTGTCGAGCCATGTTTGAAAAGAAATACATTTTTGGCCACAAAACGTATTCGTTTAATTTTATTATTTATTTTTTTTTAGCTGCTGTAAATCAACTGATGCTTTTTATGGAGTTCCACAATTAAATGGATTCTATGTGTGTTTTGGTGTGCGGGTGCGGGTACACGAGTGTGCATAAGCACAGATAATTGTAGCACTTGTAACATTTGGTCTGTTTTGTTATCTGCTACCTTTTTGGGAGAGTCAGCGCGAGTGCGAGTGACGCCCATACAGCGAGTGTGAGTGCAACAGGTGCTCGTCAAGTTTACCGTTAACCGGTCAAACAATGTACCAAATGCTGGGAGCGCGCGATTGCGTAACTAATTAAACAATTGCTTGCAATTAAGTAAATAGGAATGTTTCTGCTTTAGCTAGATAAACAGTTGAAATACTTTTGTGCTGAGCAATAAGAAAGCAAATGTGCGTATGTGTTTATATACATATAGAAATAAAAACCTTCACGACAGTTGTTAAGCGATTAACCCACAGAATGTGCATACGTATATGTATATGTATGTACATATGTATGCGTAAATGGGGTCAAGATTTCATACAACTTGCGAACAATTGCAATGACAAACGATTTGACGGGCCAGCGAAGGGTTAAAGCAGAAACGGAATTCGGCGAACGTCGAAGAAAGCAAAACGAAGACGGCGACGTAATCGCTTTGCAATGCACACAAATTCATGCATACAAATACACATGTGTTTATGTGTGTGCGAAAAAGAGAACAAAAAGAACAAATTTGGAGCATTCATAGATAGAAGAATAGACAGAATTCACTCTGAACCTAACCAAACTTTCTGCATAGCTTTGTCTTTTTTACGCTTTCTGGCAGAGGCGACAACAAAGGCGGCTTGAAGAAAGAGATAAAAATATGATTAGTGCAAATAAATGGAGTAAATTCGGTGTTTTATAGATTAGACTAGCCCACAGCTAATTACCCGCTTCAGCTGCGTGTTCATAATGTTGTGCAGCTCATTCCGAATGATGTTGAACTTCATCATGGTGTCGGAGCTGAAGATGGAGCGTCCGAACGCCAGGCCCGGGTAGTCAGCGCAACGTCCTTTGTTGCGTCGCGCCTCCCGTTCGGCCACAATCTCTGCCGCTTCACTGGTGCAACGCAGCTTTGCCCATTCCTGGGCTTGTGAGTCCTCATCCTCAGGATTTAGTACAATGCCCTCATCAATGGCGCCCGCACTGAGATCTGTTGCAATGCTGTCGCTGCTAACGTCCATTATGCCGCCGCTGCCACCTTGACGTTTGCTTCTCTCACGTTTGCCTCCAGTGCCTGAAGAGGATTTCTTTTTGCGCTCCGATTTCTCTTTGTCGCCTTTTTCACGCTTCTTTTTCTTTTTGCCACTGGCAGCAGGGAGCGCGTCTGGTTCACCTGCAGTTGCTGCTGCTGGCGTCACTGCTGGCATTGTCTCGTCCAGCATGCTGCTCTCATCGGTTGGTGTGGGACTGTTGCTGCCCAGAGAATTTGTTACAGATTCACTAAGAGGAAGGCTGAGCGAGCTGCGACTAGCAACTGGCTGCTCCTCTGTTGGGGGCTGAGTCTGCGGCGTTGCTTCGCCACGCAGATTGGAGAGCACGCCCTTGGAATCGCCGCGATAGAGGGCGGCCAGGATTTCTTGCACGTTAGGCACGTTGGGACGCCGTGTGCCGGCGAAGCGTGGATGATGCTGGTGGCCGCGTCTCTTGAGCGAAGACGGCACAAGGGACGAGGCATTGGAATTGGAATTGATGGTGCTGTGGCTGCCAGCACCACTGGTGCTGGACAGCGCATCGTCGTCGACGCTATTGCTCTGTGACATTTCTGAGTCGGAATTACTCCAACTCCAGTCGTCGGATAGCTCCGATTGCGATCGCTGCAACTGCTGATAATTATTGTAGAGTTGGGCTAGATAAAGCTCCGCCTTTTCATCGTAGTAGAGCAGTTTATCGAGTACATTCAGCTGCTCCTCGATGGAGCCCCAACGGGATGAAAGCTCCGATTTGTAGCCGTCGGAGCCGTTCTTGCCACGCTTGCTATTTGATTGCTTTTTTTGCTTGTGTTTCTGTTGTTCACTTTTGTGGCTTTGGGACTGTTTATTTGCATTAATTATGCGTCTGTTGCGCTGGTGTTGCTGCTGCTGTTTTATTGTTTTTGCCTGCTGTCCTGCAGCAGCTGCGCTGCTACCTGCTTTATATGGAATTGTTGATATTACTATATATCGATATCGATAGTTTCAGAACAAATATAGTGCAAATCAGCTGATTTGCAATTACCAATATCGATAGCTGAGAAAAAGTGTGACCAGCCAAGTGCACAAGACAAAGTTTCCTCACCAAAAAAACTACAACTACGTTTGCCTTGTGCACTTGTTTTCATTTTGCATAGAATGCATAGCATAACAGTCCAAAAAACGCGGAAAATGCTTTGCATTCTATATAAAATGATTATCTTTTAATGTACATATTTGTTTATTATTACGCTTTTGTTGTTTTGGCGGTTGCTTATCGTTGCCGCCACTCGTCAATAGATGGCGATGTGCCCGCTTTATTTGGTGCGCAAGCGTTTGGCGACGTGCCGCGTTGCCAACGTATCTTTTAATATGCGGCGTTTGCGTTGCCGGCTTAAGATACGTTAAAACTTTTGTTGTTGTTGATTTGTTAGGGTTCAAATTGGTTTGTTTAATTTGTATATCTGTTGCATTTTTTGCAATCTTTGTTAATGTTGTTTTAGGCTTTTGCTGTTTTTGTTTGGTTTTCGCCACCGACGCCGATGCCGTTGCCGCTGCCGCCTTTGCTGTCGATGTCGATTGATTTTTGCTGTAACTCACTTTTTGCCACTCATATGCATTATTAACTTTTGCAGTTCCTATTGTTAATGTTTTCTCGTACATATTAATTATAAACTGCGGCTTTTTATTTTGTTGTTGTGTGATTTGGTGCGTGTTGTTTTTCTCTTTGGTTGTTGTTGTGGTTCAAACAGCTGTGATCATAGTACCGTTAGCTTTGAGTCTTTTATCTATTTTTACTGATGATTTAATACGGTTTCTCTATCTCTCTCTTTCTCTTTTCGCTTTTCTCAATTTTCAGTCGCGCGTTAAAAACTGAGCAAGGGAAAATTTGCGTATTTGGCCAACTTCCGCAACACGTTTTTTGTTTTTGCAATTTCAGTTGCCGTTGTTTTTGTTGTAATTAAATTTATGTAATTGAAAATCACTAAAATTTTACTTAAATGAAATTAAATAAAAATAGTGATTCACTTGTTACCAAAGTATTAAGAAGACGTTAAGATTATTTATTGAATTAATTGAATAATTATTATTGAATTTATTGTAATTATTAATGCGGCGTGCGGGCGGCTCGGTTAGGCTGCTAGTTGTTCGGCCCCTCCGGCAGTTGCTGCTTGCTTTGGCGTTGTACTTGAAAGTGTTGTGCGATCATTTTTGTGGCCATGCGCTCGCTCATCGCGGCGTACGCGCGCTCTCTCTCTCTCTCTGTCTCTCTTTCTCTCTCTCACTCATTCACATACTCACTCACTGTCTTTCCATTGCTGCTGCTGATGGTGTTGTTGTGGTGGTGGTGGTGGCAGCGCCCCCTGCCAAGCGGCAGTGGCAGCGACAGTCAGTGCGGCACATGTGCGAGTGAGTCAGCATTATGCATAGCTATTCCCGCCTGCATATGTATTAGTGTTGCAGTGCGTGCGCTATGCGGGTGTAAAGGAGCGCAAGGCACTAGCACTATCAGCCCCCGCCGCCCACTCGTATACTCTCTGAGAGTGAGAGAGCGGGAGTGTGATTGCTCGCTCTTTACTCATTTCCATTTTCATTTTCTGTTAATTTCATTTGTGTGTTCTGTTTGATTTAATTGCTGTTTACTCGCTTCTCTATTTCTTTTATCATATTTGCACATATTACTCAGCTGTCTCGGTCGTCTGTATCTCATCATTATTTATTTA